GAAGTGATGATTTCTTCGGTATAAAGTAGAATTGTTAATCTTACAGACAGTAATGCTTTTTGGTATGCGGTAGAATTGTGAATCATATAGATAGTAATGATATTTGGGTATGCGATAGAAAAGTGAATCTTATAGACAGTGGTGATTTTTTGATATGCGGTAAAAAAGTGAATCTTATAGACAGTGGTGATTTTTATGGTATGCGGTAGACATGTGAATCTCATAGACAGTGATGATTTTTTGATATGGGTTAGAATTGTTAATCTTAAAGAAAGTGATGATTTCTTCGGTATAAAGTAGAATTGTTAATCTTATAGACAGTAATGCTTTTTGGTATGCGGTAGAATTGTGAATCTTATAGATAGTAATGATATTTGGGTATGCGATAGAAAAGTGAATCTTATAGACAGTGGTGATTTTTTGATATGCGGTAAAAAAGTGAATCTTATAGACAGTGGTGATTTTTATGGTATGCGGTAGACATGTGAATCTCATAGACAGTGATGATTTTTTGATATGGGTTAGAATTGTTAATCTTAAAGAAAGTGATGATTTCTTCGGTATAAAGTAGAATTGTTAATCTTATAGACAGTAATGCTTTTTGGTATGCGGTAGATTGTGAATCTTATAGATAGTAATGATATTTGGGTATGCGATAGAAAAGTGAATCTTATAGACAGTGGTGATTTTTTGGTATGCGGTAAAAAAGTGAATCTTATAGACAGTGGTGACTTTTTGGTATGCGGTAAAAAAGTGAATCTTATAGACTGTGGTGATTTTTTGGTATGCGGTAGAAAAGTGAATCTTATAGACAGTGGTGATTTTTATGGTATGCGGTAGACATGTGAATCTCATAGACAGTGATGATTTTTTGATATGGGTTAGAATTGTTAATCTTAAAGAAAGTGATGATTTCTTCGGTATAGAGTAGAATTGTGAATCTTATAGACAGTAATGCTTTTTTGGTATGCAGTAGAATATTGCTAATCTTATAGACAGTGATGATATTTTGGTATGCGGTAGAATTGTGAATCTTATAGACCGTAATGATATTTGGATATGCGATAGAAAAGTGAATCTTATATAGACTTTGGTGACTTTTTGGTATGCGGTAAAAAAGTGAATCTTATAGACTGTGGTGATTTTTTTTGTATGCGATAGACTTGCGAATCTTATAGACAGTAATGATATTTTGGTATGCGGTAGAATTATGAATCTCATAGACAGTGATGATATTTTGGTAGGCCTATGCAGTAGAATTGTGAATCTTATAGACAGTGATGATATTTGGGTATGCGATAGAAAAGTGAATCTTATAGACAGTGATGATATTTTGGTATGCGGTAGAATTATGAATCTCATAGACAGTGATGATATTTTGGTAGGCCTATGCAGTAGAATTATGAATCTCATAGACAGTGATGATATTTTGGTAGGCCTATGCAGTAGAATTATGAATGTCATAGACAGTGATGATATTTTGGTAGGCCTATGCAGTAGAATTGTGAATCTTATAGACAGTGATGATATTTTGGTATGCGGTAGAATATTGTGAATCTTATAGACAGTAATGATATTTTGGTATGCAGTAGAATATTGCGAATCTTATAGACAGTGATGATATTTTGGTATGCGGTAGAATTGAGAATCTCATAGACAGTGATGATATTTTGGTAGGCCTATGCAGTAGAATTGTGAATCTTAAATACACCGTGACGGTTTAAGTCTCACCTCTGAAATGTCTACTATATGTTCGTGTTCTTGTACCTATTGAGTTGTTTCGTATACATAAGTGACATGGGCTATTGATGTTCCACACCGAAGTTTGTCTCTGAGCTAGCTAAGAGACTATCATGTATGTAGTTTACAATGTGAACAACCCTTGTAGGTGAAAAGATAAATAATCTACGTCAACATTCACCTCGCCAAACCTAGTTTCACTTTGAAACTTAAGAGTCCCGAGGGAAAAATAAGGAAATATTAGCCACTCTGTAACACTTTTCGAACTACTGAGAGTATTATTGCTACACTAAAAACATCAAGCAAAGTGAAATATAATTCATCATAAAATACAAAGCTGTAAAAGATGCATTTTTTCGCTAGCGTATCAATTTTCAAAGTAACTTTAGAACCATTACAGCTAAAAATCTAATGGAACCCAAAGTCGCGTTAAGGAAACACGATCGCTTTCACTTAAGCAATATTTTGAAAACTGAAATAATTTGATTATAAATTTAAAGGGACAGATTCGAAATTTTCGGGTGTTGGTTTGGGTCTTGAATATATGTAAATATTCTTCAAAAGTTCTAGAAATGTACAAAAATCGCATAATTTCTTTAAAAATCTTTAAACTTGACGAGTTAGCTAAGCCAATCAGTAATAGTGTTCACAGCTCACCGTCGACATTTGAGCCTTCAAATCCATGCGTGTCCAGATTATTATTGAAAGTTAAAAAGCCGGTCGTCTTTTCTTTTGACACTGCCTATATATAGAAAATGTCAAGATAGGAATTCAATGATAGTAGTTGTAATCGTCTATACTGGACATGGTTTCGTTTTTTCTAGAAGTATAGCCGGATTGATGATGATATAATATTCTGGATTGAAGCGTATTTCAGAAAGAAAAGTTACGATAACCCAAGACGCATTTAGACACAGGTGTCATTGTCATATAATAGAAAATATTATAATAATCCCTTAAAGTATAAGTAAAGGAATCCCACTCATTTCTTTATTAAGAAAAATCATGACGAATATCTATTATGAATGTAACATTTTCTGAGTACACTATCAGGATTTAACAAAAGGAAAAACAGTCATTTATATGTTTTCCCCGTATGGTTTGATTCTATTTCAGCTATTATCAGAATGAAATCTGACGCGGTGTTCACCTGCAATTAAATTTTGAAAAAAAAGCTATTATCTCAATATTGATGGTTATATTGGCTTGAGGGAATGCTGATAACATTTTGGCAGTTTAAGGACCTTAAATTTCAATAAAATGAAAGCACAATTTAAAAATTTATCAATGAGATTTTTAATATCATCTGATAACTTTAACCAACCCAAGACATCAACATTTTTTCATGCAATTTCTGAATTTTCCAAGGTTTCAGTGGGATTACAGGAGAGGCATTTGTACCCCCATTGGAAACAACACCCCCCAGATTCAGAATGCAAAAAATAAATTAAATTTTTCAAAATATTTCTTTGGGGGAACCTCCTCAGCAGTTGTCCGTATTTGTACCTCTAGTTCAAGGAAGATGACGAGGCAGCCAGTGGGTGAGTTTCTTTTAACCGGGATACCCTTATTAGTCATGTTTCTTTCAATTACGATGACAATAAAGGCAAACTTGTTTTGAGCGAGGTTTTTTGGGACCCATTGGTTTAATCGTCTAACCTGACTAAAAAAAGTCAGTCGTTATTATGCTTGCTTCTTCAGTTAGTTTTATTTCATTGAAAATAAGCATTAAACCATAATAGTTAGTTAATAAATAGAATATTACTTAAACGCCTATATTACTTTAAGTGCACTGTCCATCCCAAACATATTTTCCTGAGAGTCACGCTTTTAAAAAAAACAACCAATCTACCAAAAGAAAATTAGGAGTTATTTATTGGCTAGGAAAACAAATTTGAACCAATCATAAAATGTATGATCGATCTTGTGGGTGTTGATCTTACTTTAATGTGTAGGTTTAAAAAATCATTATAATACAAGCAGCTCCATTAGAAAAATTTAGTTTGAAAACAAAAGCTGAAAACTACAAGCGAAAATCAAGAAACGATTTATTCTAGTGGTGAGTTGAAAAACATTTAATATTTATTTTCATATTTTGATCGTTGTTCTGATTTTTAAATCAGATTTTTCATTTTCGAAACCCAATTGTCTTTTATGTAACTTTTATTTTTGATCTTTATTGTCTGTAGTCTTTTCATAGCATTTTTAAATAATATTGTATTTCAATAGGTCATACTAATTTTTGGCATATTGAATTTATTTTGTGGTCAAAATTCTCAAAGATAGTACAGCGAAAAAATAAAATAAAAAAAACGCAACAACGGCGAACTCATCAATGTAATAAATACATACGTAGTTTCATCAAAGTCAGACGAGCACCTTGGCATCAATATCAACCATCTGATTATTTTGTCCGGCTATTGCAATACATTAATTGTTGTGTGTAACGAAAATCAAATCTTTAGATTTTGGTTTATTTGTGTATTGTTCAAATAAGCAAATCTGTTCAATAACTTGGTAAATTTTCGTTGACAATAAATTACTTTTTTGTCACTAATTTGAGTTCACTGCTGTCAGATGTATCTACGATAGATAGTCTACTTTAAGAACAGGATAAAATTGAAAGAAAAAGACAGCTTCGCGGATAGTTTAAGATATAATAAAGAAGAGAAAAGGGCAGTCATTTCATATTGTATAGACTATTTTAAATATATACATACATATATCAAGTGATATTTTAAAATTGCTTCTATATTACATTAAAACATAATTATAGCATATTATGCTAAAATGTAACATAATACGTAATATATCATGATGCAGTAAAATGACATATTATTCAAAACGTAATTAAATGAGTATGTGCATATCGTGATACTACATAGAACGCATGTGTTATTGTAGAGTTTCTGATATGTATAACATAACATCATCATATATTACACAATTACTGTTATATTATATCATACATCATAACATGATAAAGCATCACGTATTATTGTATAGCTACTGTTATAAAATATAACATGACAACTAAATTACCGTTCTATTATATCATAATGTAAATTACTTCTGTTAATGTAAAGCTACTGATATAACATAATATATCATAATATATAACATGATACTAGCATGATATATCACATTATTGTTTTATGACTGTTTGAGAGAGTTACTGTAATAATATATACAACATGATAATAGCATGATATATTTCACAATAAACTGTTTTATTATATCATACATCATAAAATGATAAAGCATCACGTGCCATTGTCAAGTTACTGTTATGTGAAAAACATGCTACTAGCTTGATATATTATTAAATTATTTTATCATACCATAACATGATAAAGCATCACGTGTTATAGTACAGTTATAACATGATACTGGTATGATATATTACACATATATTACTGTTGATTACATAATGCTTATTATGATACAGTATTATAAAATTACTGAAATGTCATAATAATATATAACACGATGAAGCAACATCTACTGTTATAAAGTTGTTACATTTATATTGTTACATATAACATGATGTTGATAAGATGATAAAATAGCATGTGATAACATGAACTACTGTTATATGATATATTTCCATTACGTTACGACAGCATAATTTTTCTCTTTAAAGGGATAGGTGAGCCATTTTGTGATCAATCCTAGTTTAGTCTCAGAAACGGGAATTCTTTGGCTGAGCCAATCAGTGATAGTGTTGTTTTGAGCCTTTAAATCCATGTGTTGTCCAGTATTATCCGCATTTGAAAGAGACGATTCGTCGTTTTGAAACATTGGCATATATAGAAAATACATTTATAGAAATTCCTAGTTTGAGACACTTTTCAAGAATTTTGGGTTTTCGTACATTTCTAATACTTCTGAAGACTATTTACATATATTCAAGACTCAAATCAACCAAAATGGTGCAACTGTCCCTTAAATTTCATAATTCTTACATTTGTCATTGATTTTATTGCATTTATTTGGTCAAAATCATTTCTGAATGATTAAAGTAGAATTACTGCGATATCATGTATTAAATAAGACATAAGATATTACAAATTTCTAATACTACTTGACGTGATCTTATGCTATTATAAATTTATTATGCTATCTTGATTTTTCAACATGATCAAGCAACATTGGATATTTTGGAATCACTTTTATATAATATGCTATATTGTGATATGCAGATTTAATTATACTTATGTAAATATGATTAACGTTAATATCATTAACATAAAACCTTTAATAAACGATGATCCCACGTTCAACGACCTTAAATACTGTGTTTAATTAAAGATCATACAAAGACGTTTTGAAATTCCTCCACAATATGGAATACCTGTTCTACTGAAAATTCATTCATTATCATAAGTCAATCTTGAAAAACATAATGAATGTCCACAAGATGTGTTATTTAAAATATTAAAGATACAGCTAATTAACATCATGCAGGCGACAAGTCATATGTATGAGAACATACAATATTATGATATCCGATTGTGCTTTTTAATCCCAAAACAATACGACACGTTAATCACGATCATAGAATATTAAAACTCAAGCACTAATGTATCACGACTTTGGAATTAACTTTTGAATTAAGAAAAGGCGGAGGATTAAATTTTTTTACTAAGATTTGAAGATTAATTATCTTTGTTTAAATTCACATTTAAATTCACCCTACTCTGGACTTAACTAGATGTTTTCATTTGAGTTTGATAATTTGAGGAGCTAAGAACACGGGTAAAGAATTCTTCTAACCTTTTGATTATATTTTGAGATAGGAGTGAGAGGCTTTGACTTTGTATTATTTGATCTATTGCAATGCAAAGGTTACTCATGGTAAGCTATGGCTATCCATTGGAAACAAGGGTTACTTTGAGACAAACTTTGGTGACCCAATGGAAACAATGTTACTCATTAATAGACAACGGTTTCCAAACAAGGGTCAATGGTTGCAAAAAGCGCTTAGCCAGTGATTTTTTTTTATCGTATAACTCATTGGGTTTTGGCTTTTTTCTGTAGTTTAACGATTTGATAAACAGTGAAATTAATGGATTCATGATAATAAAAACGGATACTCTCAGAAAACAATTGTTACCAATGGATAAACCATAATTTAAAAAGATTACCAAATGGTTTGAAGTTCAAGATATTTATTTTTGAAATTTTCTTATTTCAGGTAACAAAGAAGAAATAAATATGGAATTTAAAAGTATCATATGTATTTTAGTTGGATTTTTGTTCATTGCTACAGTAACGTGTTTAAAATCAAATCACCTCTTATCAGGTAATTATTTTAATCTTTCATTTATCAAATCAGTGAAAGGCTTCGTGACCTTAAACTAAAAGAATGATAAACATTCCGCTCAAATTCAAATAACCCTGTTTAGATTTTATATCATTTCAACTGTGACGAACCTTGTCCCTATTTCTGGTTCTTTTTCTGATTTTACAGTTACCACATTGTTTTTCTCTTCTGACATCCCAGTGTTTTTCCTTTTCCTTAGTTACCTCAATGTTGTTCTATATACCACAATTCTTTTTTTTTAGTTTTCCCACACTACATTGTTTTTTCTTTTCTGATTTCCTACAATTACAAAGTTTTCCTTTTTTGATTTATTAGTCACCACAATGCTTTATTTGATATCCCTCAGTTACTACATTGTTTTCTTTTACGATTTCCCCCAGTTACCGCATTGTTTTTCTTTCTTGATTAATTAGTAACCACTATTTTTTACTTTACTTGATATCCCTCAGTTACTACTTTGTTTTTCTTTTCTGATCCCCCCATTTACCACACTGTTTATCTTCTTTGATTTATTAGTTACCACTATACTTACTTTACTTGATATCCCCCAGTTACCACATTGTTTTTCTTTTCTGATCCCCACATTTACCACACAGTTTATCTTCCTTGATTTATTAGTTACCACTATACTTACTTTACTTGATATCCCTCAATTACCACATTGTTTTTCTCTCATGATTTCCCTCAGTTACCGCATTGTTTTTTTTTTAAAATTTTTCAACATATCACTTTGTTTTCTATTCTTATTTATTTCCACTTATCACTTATAGTTTTTCTATTTTGATTTCCAACAGTTACCATCATGTTTTTCTATTATTTATTCCTATTGTTTTTCTATTCTCATTCATAACAGTTACCGCAGTGTTTTTATTTTCTGATTTTCCACAGTTACAACAGTGTTTTTATTTTCTGATTTCCCACATACCATAGTGTTTTTCTTTTCTGTTTCTCTACCGTTACCACATTGTTTTTTCTTTTCTGATTTCTAAAATTTACCATAGTGCTTGATTTTCTGACTCACAATTACCACTATGTTTGCGAGATGTAATATCTTTCATGCAGATAATTCAAAATACGTTCATTGTTTCTTTTATAGATGATGAACCAAACAGCATAAGAACAGTTTCAGTGCTAGATGCTTTAGGCGAAGCTGATGATGATGATGTTAGTGCAGACAATGGCTTGTTAGCAATCAGTGAATGGTTTCCTAGAGTTGTTTTCGGTCCCAGTTATAAACCAGATAAACGGGGAAGTCTAATGCGGTTTGGCAAGAAGGCTTCAATGTTGAGATTTGGAAAACGGGGTTCTTTATTTCGATTTGGTCGAAATAACCCCTTACCGTTATATTTACAAGCCCCTATTAGAAGTGAAAGAGAAGATATACCGAAGACAAAGAAAGTTCCAGATTCATTTCATTGGGGACGTGAAGCGGAGTAACTAGAAGAGGACGTTACCTTTAATTATTGTTGAATACGTTTTCGGTTGACATTTCATCATTTTCACATGGCTTCCATTGTTTTTCATTGTTCTGATTTTTCATTGATCTGAAAGGAATAAACAAGTCTCTGTACAAAAATGGTAATTTTTTAATCGGGTTTAAGTAATAGATGGTAGAAATTGAATTATGGAATCGATATTAAATCTCAAACCACCAAATCGCAGCAACTGATCAAACCAGAAGTTAACAATGGCGGGAAATTTGAAGAAATAATCGCAGAATATCAGGATACTTTGTGGTGTTATTTTTTGAATCATTCGTTTCATATATATTCGTATTGTTAACGTCACTAAAACAGTTCTATAAATTTCGGGTCGTTGATAAAGATCTCAATACCAAAATCTGTACAATTGTGTATTGTTAGTTGGATCAATGGTGCGGTTGAGATTTTAAAAAAAAGAATGTTGTCACATTGACCATCTGATTTGTTAAACGCTACTTAGCCTTGGGTGCAGTGGCCACAATATTGTTAGGGAGAAAGACAAATTCTTGTGAAAAATCCAATCAAAATGTTCAGGGCACTATCTGCATGTTGTCTGAAAACATATCATTGTATTATGTCCCCTTATACACAATTTAGGAAGAACAAGAAAACCTTAGCTTAAATTCTCCCAAATCACCCACTATATACAGCCATTGATGAAAGGAGTGAGCTGAAATATTAGAAACCATCTTGCAAGGTTATTCGATTGAAAACATTTGATTTCTTGTGGAAATCAGTAATATTGAACATCTTTTGTCCATTTTTTGTTGCGTAAAAAAACACCCCATAACTTAATGTATTCAATTAGCAATAAGAATTTTACACCATTTTTGCATTTCTACATCACCATTATGCCTACTTTCTGAGTGGATGTATATTATTTGGCACTTATGTCCATCGGTTAAATCTTCTTGATAGGTGTATGGAGTTAAGGAGCCAGGGTTACGTCCGATGGGGGCGAAATACCTGAGGTTGTTCGAGTTTCTAACCAAGTTGTGATATTTTTGCCGAACATAATGCTTTTGGTGCTGCGAGAGGGGAGGGGAGGGGGGTATGTATAATAATAACATAAAAATCAAATTAATAAAATTTGTGTGCTGGTTATTGACTAATATCAGAGTTACTGTCCTTGTTCCAACATAATACAAAAGTTACAAATCTAATTGGTTTTGAACTGATTTTCTCTCAAATTCGAATAAATGTATATAATAAATGGTGAAGGCCTTTGAAATATAAACAGCAATTATAACTTTTTGAGACTTTTTGGCGTTTTTTTGTCTGAATTTAAAAGGATAGGTAACCTTTTATTTTTCTGTTTACTGAAAATTTGGCCAGTTTGCAACTATATTTTTTGCATTTGGGTATCAGATGTTATTGATCTGGATTTCGATTACTGTATAAAGTTCTGTATGAAATTTCTTTGCTTCCCAGCTTATTTTCATACAAATTGTATTAAGTGGAAATGTGATAACTTAGGTGCATGCACATAGCCCTTCTAAGACTTTCACTGGCAGCTTACAAGGCATTAGCCGTTGATGCAGTTAAAGATGGTTTGTCAGGAATGGTAACAAACGCCAACTGGCAGCTAAGTTTGAATTTGGTCATTTTAAAAAAAAAAGTTATCATTAACATGAACTATTTACAGCGAGAGAAAAGTTGAAAGTACAAGGATCATGCCGTTCGATCATCTTATAAATTCTAATATTTCTGAAGTTCTACTGATTGAAAAAGAAAAAAACTCAATTCCACCATGAGTTTTGAAGAACAAAAGCTACAATTTTTTTTAAAATTTTCTATAGGGTTCATACTTGGTTGATAATAAACAATTTCACCATAAGAATTATTGTTCCTTGGGTGTTTCTTACTAATTGTGAAATGGCGGTTTGTTATGCGTGACGCCATGTCATGTGGAAGCATATAAACAATTTATAGAATGACGTCAACTACTTTCTAAATCTCTCTACAGAAATATACGAACTGGTATTTACGCAATTTTTTATAGTCAAGGTAAGCAAAACTATGTGCATATCAAATTATTATTAGATCTACAACAATAAAGTACATTTCTTTGATTATCAATAAAAAAAATCCGTCTTTTGAAATCAGACCACGACCACCAGACCCAAATGTAAACAAAACATCATCAAGATATGCATTTTAATCAGATTCTTGAACGGCCCATAAGGCAAAGGAACGAAAGGCAGTGAAACTTTAATTTCAACTCTAATTCATATACAGTCCAATTGTCTAATAGATAACTATCATTTAGCTTTAAGAACTTGGTTATAAATCTAAAACCTCTATTCAAGGACAGAGTTTAATAGAACCCGATGTATTTATATACCCCCTATGGAAATGCAAGTAGTGATATAGTTGGTCAAAACGTTACCAGTTTTACCATTGAAATGATAAGCCTGCATATAAAGACATAATACTGTAGCTTTGCATCTTGACGTACAAAAATATCTGGAATTTACGTTCGCCTTTTTTTTTGATATAATTTGAATTATTGTAAAGAAAGAAATTTATGCGGATAATCAGTCGCTTTTTCAATCTAACGACATTTTTAAGATTGCCTTCACCATGTTGATAACATATACATTATTTTGGAATAATGCATTATTTATAATATCTTTCTAAGATCTTTTCTAGGTCATGTAATCTGACATTCATTATTTCATGATGTTAAAGTCAATGACGTTGAAATTGATTACAGGTATTATGTTTACCACTTGGTTGTAATTACCACCTTTCGTCCATTATAACGATATATCATAGCCAGCAATCTTCACATATTGGTCAAACCGGCAGCTTTTTAAAAAACATAAGCTGAATTTTTTTGTGTGATTTCTAAACTCTTACGTAGGCCTATTTAAATGACATATATTTTCAAAAAAAATTTAACTGGTTACAAAAATGGATACATTTACAGTTGAGAATATATGACTATTAATCAATCTTATAATGTTTGTTTCCATATTCTAATGATAATCGCTCTTTTATCATCGTCATACTGTCGTCATGGCAACCGTACAAACTGTTGAGGACAGAGAAAAGAAATAGGTAAAACTGTATTTTATGTCTTTGTCCTTAAATACAATAATGGACGATTTTCTCTGAGATGACATTTTTCACGAAAATTAGATGTTTGAAAATATGGAATAGAAAAAGAGATTGTGTAATAGATATCCGCCATTTTGGACTACTATTGAAAATCCTGTAGAATACCTAACAGTAGAGACGAAAGGTGTACAATATAGAAACATTGGCGAGGCAGTTATTGATTTTTCAACTTCATTCCATGGATGTATGAAGAGACGATAGGAAAACAAAAATGCCAGGGGCTCGGCGTGGATTGGTGGCCCCCCAAAATACCTTCTTGGAAAATATTATACGGAGATCGAACGGACAACGTAAGTAGAGCCTTTTAATTTAGTCGTTTGGTTTATCTGTAGGATTCAGGTAAACAAGATGAGATGCGCCATTAAATTTAATAACAATACATGTTCATCAATAATATACTAGAGTACAATGACGACAAGAAGGCAAACGAAATGACTAGCGTAAATTCCTGGATTATTATGAAGGTTTAAAGACCAACCGAAAACAAAAATAATGCCGTTTTAAGGCATAGGGACGTCATGATTTCCATCGGGGTGAAAGACTGCGGCGGGTCGACTCTTGGATTTGTGATATAGTTGGGACCGAAGAAAAATGGATAGGCTTTACTCTTATAACCACGTTAATGTACATTTATGTCAGTCATTCTGTAAAGGGGGCAATCTCTGGGTTGTATTTTGTATTGTATTAAGCATGCCCCTTCCCCTCTCTTTCTGAGGGGTCAAAGGACAGGATTGGCCTTTGCCGGCGACTATCTCAAGACGGAAAGGTTATATTTCAAATGTGATTTTGCACCATTAACCTTCGTTTTCCTTTTTCTTAACGAGATCACATGTATCTGAAATTTCATAAAGGTAATATATATATATAATAATATATATAAAATACGTAGGCTATATGCCGTTAAACAGTCACACAAATAGTTGTTTCTTTTTATTTGTGTCACTGTTGAGCGGCTGTGATAAACACATAGTTTGTGGTATTTCAGATACCTGCATGTGACGTAATACACCTGATATTTACTTGGCATGTCATGACTATCTTGCGACAACGCGTAGTAATGTAATGCCCATGGCGTTATGCAATGACTAATGATTACATTGAAAGGAATATATCAATATCATAAAACATTTTTATTTATCTATCATAAAAAGTCCTAAAAATTCAAAATTGGGAATTACAGATCAAATTACTATGGATTACCCATATTTATTTTTATTCTTAAAAACCCAAAAATTATTTCATCATAAAAGACCTGAAAATAATACCCGACAAGACATGTAAAGTAATTACGTTCTTCTACATTGCAATACCATGTTATCTAAACCGTTACGAAACATTTCATAACAAATTCCATATTAATTAATTCAGTGGGCTGTAAGCTAATTTAAAAAGAAAATCATGAAATTACACTTAAATTAAGTATTAGAAAATTTGACACTTTTTAAGAACATAATACATAAATATTCAGAATAAGCTCTTTAGGAACTGTTATTTAATTAACACTCAAAAATGATTACGGAGCGTACCTAATTATATTTAAATAATGTATACATCACGTATAGACAGAAATAAGCCTGGGTCCTATAATTAATGTAATTTCCCGATTGTGTTGTATTAGGACCATATTGTCAATAATGTGAATTATAATGCAAACTGTAAAACCATACGGCCTTTTAAATAAACCATTGCAATTACATGCACCGAAACAAAAGATATAACACCCCGAAAATATGCCACAAACGGTCACCTTGAGAAGAAGAAGAAGCTCTCCTCAGTATAATCCCTATATATATTGTTAATGGGATTCAAAAGAGATTAATTGAGCAGATTATG